TTTCATTTTTATTTTCATACAAAAAATAAAATTATTTTAAAACGAGTTCCAAATGCACCATTTGTTTCAGAATTAGGATATCATTATCTATTTACTCTTTTACTTAGACTTTGGTAGGGAAAAAAAAAAGTGTGGGAAGCGACCGGCCGTAGCTACTTCCTTTTTGTGTGAGCGTAGGGGTCTCCACATGTTAAGGAATGTTCGCATTTGAGCTGATGGAAGATGAAGCGCGTCACCTTAGACCCACCAAGAGGTAATGATGTTGAGTTGGTAGCCTAGAAATAGTCCAAAGCGTTTCCCATGAGACTCAAACTTGAGATGTCCCATCTACTAAAGCACTTGGGAATAAGCCAAATCCATTGCTCTAGGCTACCACCTTGGCAGTAGTCTTTTTCTTCGATTAGTCCTAGAGGGATTAAACTTTACCTCTATAATGTTATTCAATTTTCATCATCATTATTATAATATTCATAGATGTTTTAGAGTATATCTATGTTAACTCCTTGAACGAGTTTAAAACTTCATCTTCTTTTGTCAGGTTGCTTGGAAAGAGGGATTTGATGAGCCTGGTGCTGAACATTTTGACCACAAGATTTATGGCTCGAAAAAGTGGATCGGAACCACTGAATGTGCTGCCCTTTTACGCTCCTTTGGGGTCCGGGCAATGGTGGTTGATTTTGGTCCTAAAGAGTTGGAGTCGCTTTATCTTAGTGTTCCAGGTTCAAGTGTTGGGGACGAGGTGAACGTTGCTATGTGTACGGGAGGAAAGAGGAGAGGGGTTGAAGTTTATGGACCAATGGATAGGTATGTTCTGAGAAAGAATCATAGTGTTCATCAAGGAGATTCCAGTGTGCAGGAAAGGGCTAGTTCTTCTGGTGTGCAGCTTGGTGGCTCTTTGGGTAGTGAAAAGAATATCACAAGAAAAAATAGGGGTCAGCAGGTTCTTGTTGACTGGGTCTGGAATTACTTTTCTAATGAAAACACCACTAAACCCGGCAATCGTTGTGTCATTGTCAGTGAGAAAGCGTAAGTCCAATCTTTGTAGCCCAACATGGAAATTGTTATGTTGAGTATCATGTTTGGATAGCATTCATTTTGAATGCGTTCTAATGTTTTGTGAGCTGTTGTGAGCAGGCCCTTGTACTTCCAACATGACGGGCATTCAAGAACTATTGTTGGAATTCAAATCAAATATCAACGAAACGGGGTTCAGCAACATAATCTCTTGATCTTGGACCCTGGTCATGTAAGTTTCATCCTATTCATTTTTCACTTAATTGTGGAATATGTGATTCCTTTTGCATTCTAAAAGCTGCAGTTAGGTTTTGTTGGTGAATAGAATTGATTAGTTCACAACACATAGTAATACGAAGAATTCCAATTTTAGATGGATTTAAGGTGTTTTCTCTTTACCCTTTTTTTGGAAAATCTTAGGCTTCAACTGAAATCAGAACTTATATCCTCTTCTTGACAAATGTACACTGTTGTTTTGATGTTTGGTTGGAGGATTCAAACCATGATTTGAATCATGGTTCAAGGTTCGCTACAGTGTTTTCTCTCACAAAAAATACACGTAAAT